GGGGGACATTGGGGGGCACAGGGACACTGGGGGACATTGGGGGGACATGGGGCACACTGGGGGCACAGGGGCCCGTCCCGCTCACCCGTTTCCCGGCGTTTCGCCCCATTTCAGGTTCAGCGCCCAGGGCTGCGTCCTCAGCCCAGGTGCGTGTCCCCCCATAGGGGCTCTATAGGGGTCTATAGGGGTCTCTATAGGGGATCTATAGAGGTCTATAGGGGTCTCTATAGGGGGTCTATAGGGGTCTATAGGGGTCTCTATAGGGGGTCTATAGGGGGTCTCTATAACGGCTTCTCCAGGGTCTCTATAGGGGCCCTATGAGACTTTCTGTAGCACTTCCTATAGGGATCCTCTAAGGGTCTCTCTAAGGGATTCTATAGGCGCTCCTTTAAGGGTCTTCATAAGGGCTTCTATAGGATCCCTGTGAGGGTTCTGTAGGGGCTCCTTTAGGGTCTCTATAGGGCCCCATAAGTGTCCCTATAGGGTTCTTATGGGGCTGCTATAGGGGTTTCTGTAGGTTCTCCATAGGGCCGCCATTAGGGTCTCTATAGGGGTTTGTGTGGGGTCTCTATAAGGGCGTCCCGCATCCCGATTCCCAGTGTTTCCCGGGATTTCCCATCCTGCATCCCTATTCCCGGGATCTCCCACCCCAATTCCTGGGGTTTCCCAGGATCTCCCACCCCAATTCCCGGGGTTTCCTGGGATCTCTCATCCCACATCCCACTTGCCGAGCTTTCCGTGGTTTCCCGTCCCACAGGAGAGCCGGAGGCGGCTGCGGATCCGGGTGCGGATCCCGAAGCGGAGGCGGATGCGGAGGCGGATCCCGATGTGGATCCCGATGCGGATGCGGATGCGGATGCGGATGCGGAGCGGGCGGCGCTGCAGCGCCTCGTGCTGCTCTCGCACGGCCACAGCCGCCGCTGCGCGCTGGTGCCGGGCGTGCGGCGCGCGCCGGGATCCCGCCGCACGCTCCTCTGGGAATGCGGCGCCGGGCACCGCTTCTCCTGGCGCCGCCGCGCCGCGCCGCCCGCGGGAAAGGGGAGCGCCCGCGGCGCGGCTCCCGGCCACGCTCCGGGTGAATTCCCGCCCCGCCGCGGCCGGGAATGGCGCTCCGGCACTACCCCCATCCCTGTTATCCCTAGGGATGTCCCCATTCCCTATTCCAATCCCCCAGCCCCTATCCCCATCCTAATCATCCGGCCCTTATTCCCCATTCCCATTCCCTATCCCGTTCCCATTCCTTATCCCCATCCCGATCATCTAGCCCCTATCCCCCATTCCCATTCCCTATTCCTTCTTCCTATCCCCATTATTTATCCCCTATTCCCCATGCCCAATCGCCATCCCTTATCCCATCCCCATTCCCTAATTCCCTGTCCCCCATTCCCTGTTCTCCATTCCCTCTCCCCTACTCCCCTTCCCTATCCCTATGTCCTACCCCTATTCCCTATTCCCATTCCCCATTCACTATCCCCTATTCCCATTCCTTATCCCCATTCCCTATCCCCATGTCTTATCTCCCATTCCCCATTCCTATTCCCTATCCCCCATTCCCATTCCTTATCTCCACATCCTATTCTCAATTCCCACCCTTCACCCCCATTCCCTATCCCCATTCCTTATCCCCTCTCCCCAATTCCCCATATCCCCCCTTCCCATTCCAATCCCCATTCCCTCTCCCCAATCCCCATCTCTCACCCCCATATCCCCCATTCCCATTCCCGCTCCCATTCCCGCTCCGCCTGCCCCGCCGCAAACACCTCGGAGCTTTAGCTGGACGCAATTCCCGCTTCCTGGAATATCCTGCAATAACCCTCCGTTTCCCTTCCCGCCCTCTCCGGCGTTCCTGGCTCCGTGTCCCTGCAGCTCCCGGAGCGCAGCCGGATGGAGGCAATTCCCGGGAAACCCCCCCCGTGGATCCCGAGCCGCCCTTCCTTCCCGGCGCGAATTCCGGCTGCGGTGACGCTCCGGAGGCGCCGGAGCCGCCAGCGGCTGCCGAGGAGGAGGAGGAGGAGGAGGAGGAGGAAGAGGAGCCGGCGTTCGCCGACGATCCGCGCGACGGGAATTACGTCCCGTCCCCGCCCCCGTGAGCCGGGATCCACTTTTGGGGTGAAACGCGACAAAAACGGGAGCCGCGGAATTCCCACGATCGTCCCCAATCCCGGCGGCTTTTCCCATCCCGACAATGCTTTTTGGGGCTCAAAAATCCCTTTTTTCCCCTATTCTGGACGCTCCGGGGGAGGCTTTTCCCTCTTTTTTTGCCCGGTTTTCCCAGGTTTTCTCCCTGCTCATTCCCTCCTGCTTCCCAGGGAGCCACAGCGGGGCCGGAGCCGGAAAACCGGGAAGGGGGAAGGAAGCGGCGGCGCGGGAAGGGGCCGGTGAGTCGGGAGCCTCTCCCGCTTTTCCTCAGCCATCTCCCACGGGATGAGCCCATTCCCGCAGGATTCCGCCCGCAGCTCCGGGAGATCCCGACGCGCGTGGGAATGGGGGCGATTTTGAGGGAATTCCGCTGCAAAAGCGGGAACTTTTGTCCCAGCGATTGGCTCGGGCTTGTTTTTAAGGGCAAAAAAATGGATTTTGGTCCCGTGGGGGCTCCGCGGCTTCCCCGGCCTCTTCCCATTCCTGACTTTTTTGCCTCCGGCAGCCGCGAGGCGGGAAAAGGGGACGAGGACGCGGCCCAGATCGGCCCCAAGAGGATCAGGTAGCGAGCGGCGCCGGGAAGGGGATCGGGAATGGGATCAGAAATGGGATCGGGAATGGGATCGGGAATGGGAACAGGAATGGGACTGCGAACAAGATCAGGAAACGGATCGGGAATAGGATTGGGAACAGGATCGGGAATGGGATTGGGAAAATGATTGGGAACAGGATTGGGAATGGCATCGGGAATGACATTGGGAACGGAATTGGGAATGGGATCGGGAATGGGATTCCCAAGGGTTTTCCGGTTGGGAACACATGGCTGAGTGGTTCCTCAGGGCAGGATAACATCCCGTGGGATAATCCCAATGGAGGCTCCTCGGGCCTCCACCCACCTCCGGGAAATCCAAGGAATCCCAAGGAAGTCTTCCCGCTTTTTTGGGGGGGCATTCCCAGGAAGGCGGCGAAGCGGGAGCTGCTCCTGTGCGACTTCGAGGGCTGCGGGAAGATCTTCTCCAACCGGCAGTACCTGAACGTGAGCGCGGCCGGGAGGAGGGAGGCTCCGGGAAGCGGGAGGCTCCGGGAGGCGGGATGCTCTGGGAAGCGGGAGGCTCCGGGAAACAGGAGGCTCTGGGAGGCGGGAGACTCTGGGAAATGGGATGCTCCGGGAGGCGGGAGGCTCCGGGAAGCGGGAGGCTCCGGGAAGCGGCATGCTCTGGGAAGCGGCATGCCCTGGGAAGCGGGATGCTCCGGGAAGCGGGATGCTCTGGGAGGCGGCATGCTCCGGGAAGCGGGAGGCTCCGGGAGGCTCCGGGAGGTGGGAGGCTCCGGGAAGCGGGAGGCCCTGGCAAGCGGGATGCTCCGGGAAGCGGGATGCTCCGGGAAGCGGGAGGCTCCGGGAATCAGGATGCTCCGGGAGGCGGGATGCTCCGGAGTGCCATTCCGGGGCGTTTTGGCTCATCCCGCGCTTTCCGGGCCCAAACGCTCCCAGCACCACCGCAAGTACCAGCACGAGCAGCAGAAGACGTTCGCGTGCCCGGAGCCGGGATGCGGCAAATCCTTCGACTTCAGGAAGCACCTCAAGGAGCACGAGAAGCTGCACAGCGGTGAGCGCCGGATCCGCCCGCGTTCCCGCGAATCCCGGCGGCGCCGCTCCGCAAGCCGGGATGCTCCTCGTGTTCCCGGCGGCCTTCTCCCGCTCCCGTCTCCTCGTGGGGGCTGCGGTGGCTTCCCGCCGACGGGATTTTCCCCAATCCCGCATTTTCTTCCCGAATCCCGCGTTTTCTTCCCGAATCCCATGTTTTCATCCCGAATCCCGTGTTTTCTTCCCGAATCCCACCTTTTCGTCCCAAATCCTGCCTTTTCTTCCTGAATCCCACGTTTTCTTCCTGAATCCCACGTTTTTGTCCCGAATCCCAGGTTTTCTTCTCGAATCCTGCATTTTCTTCTCAAATCCCACGTTGTCATCCCAAATCCCGTGTTTTCGTCCCGAATCCTGCCTTTTCTTCCTGAATCCCATGTTTTCGTCCCGAATCCTGCGTTTTCGTCCCGAATCCCGCCTTTTCTTCCCAAACCCCACCTTTTCTTCCCAAATCTCATGTCTTCTACCTGAATCCCGTTTTCATCCCGAATCCTGTGTTTTCATCCCGAATCTTGCATTTTTGTCCCGAATCCCGCGTTTTCATCCTGAATCCTGCGTTTTTCTTCCCCAATCTCATGTCTTCTTCCCGAATCCCGCGTTTTCGCCCCGAATCCCGCGTTTTCGCCCCGAATCCCGCGTTTTCGCCCCGAATCCCGCGTTTTCGCCCCGAATCCCGCCTTCTCTTCCCGCAGACAAGCGGGATTACATCTGCGAGTTCTGCGCGCGCCGCTTCCGCACCAGCAGCAACCTCCTCATCCACCGGCGCATCCACACGGGAGAGAAGCCGCTCCAGTGAGTCGCGCTCCCCGCCTTTGGGAACGGGGAGCATCCCGCTCCGGAATTCCGGGACGCGGCCGGATCGGGTCCGACGGCGGCAGCGCCTCCAAATGCGGCGGAGCCGCCGTTCCCGGTCATTCCGAGCGGCTCCTTTTCCCGCTCGCGTCGCCGAGGGGGGGGACCTCGCTCCTTTTCCCGCTTCCCGCCGCCATTCCCGGTTTTCCGGGCCGTTGCAGGTGCGAGATCTGCGGGTTCCGGTGCCGCCAGAAGGCGTCGCTCAACTGGCACATGCGGAAGCACGGCGCCGCCGCCGACTACCGCTTCCCGTGCGAGCTGTGCGGGAAGCGCTTCGAGAAGCGGGATAACGTGGCGGCGCACCGGAGCAAGAGCCACCCCGGAGCGGCGGGAACGCCGCCGGGAATGCCGCCGGGAACGCCGGGAACATCACCGGGAAAGTCGGGGACGCCGCCAGGAATGCCGCCGGGAACGATATCGGGAATGCCGCCTGGAATGTCGCCGGGAAAGCTGCCCGGAATGCCACCCGAGACACCCGGGATCCTGCCGGAGACAGTGGGAATTCCGCCCGCGGCGCCCAGGATCCCACCAGAGACGGCCGGAATGCCGCTGGAGACACCGGGAATGCCGCCCGAAAGGCCCAAGATCCTTCCGGAGATGCCGGGAATGCCACTGGAGACACCGGCTCCCGCACTGGCCCAATAAAGTTATTTGGGGCCAATTCCATGGATTTCAGAGATTTTTTTTTCTACTCCAAAACTGGGCCAAAATTGGGGAAATTTGGCTTTTCCCAGGTGGATCGGGACTCCGCGAAGTGGGAAAAGGGCAGGGCTGATCCCAGGACAGGGCGGAGGGGGATTTGGGCTTTTTGGGAGGGAATTCCAGGGAATACCCAGGAATGGCGCAGGAGGCGGGATCAAAGGAACGGGGAATGCGGAGCCGGTGACGCTGTCCCAAATCCTCCTTTTCCAGCCCCAAATCCCGGCCGGGAATCATCTCCCTTCCAGGGAGCAGCAATGGCCATTTACTCCCTAGGGAAAACGGCTCTTCCATCGGGAGCAGGGGGCCGACATTCCCAAAAGGAATCCCAAAAGGAATCCACAGACACAGCCGGATTTCTCCCTCTGGAGCGGAGCCCCCGGCGACTCTTCCAGCTGCCTTTTCCCAGGGATTAAAGGCGGATCCGGAGCACGCGGAGCCGCCGGGAGCGAGGGAATTTTCCCGGGTGTTTTTTTTCTGCACAGCAACGTTTATTTCCCCGCTCCCCGAGGCCAGGGCTAAGAGCAGGGATCACCCGAGGGAGGCGGGAAGCGCGCGCCAAAACACACGGAAAAGCGGGAGAGGATCCGCGCTCCGGCCGGCCGCTCCCGAGCCGAGACGCCCCCGCGCTTAAAACACCCGGAATCGTTCAAATGGCCCTAAAGGCGCCCAAATCTGCTCTCCCGGGGCTCGGGAATGCGCCGGGATCTGCGGTTCGGATCCGGGAAAGGAGAGGACTGGCTCTCTAGTGCAACGGGAAGCGTGGGAATGGGATGGGCGCTTTCCTGGGTGGAAAATCCTAGGAGAAGGCGGGAAAAAGAGACACACGAGGAGAGGGGAGGGAGGAAAAACATGGAAAATTTGGGAAAAGAGGGAAAGAAAAGGAGAAGGAGGGGACCTGCAAGGGGCCGGGTTGGGATGCGGCGCTCCGGCCTCCCTCTGCTCCGCTTTCCCAATCCGTCGGGATGCGGAGCGGGAAGCAGCGGAGCTCTGGGGGGCAAAACAGAGCAGGGGGGCTCTAGAGAGGGGAAAAAAGGGAGAAAAATGAGGAAAAAAGGGGGAAAAGGAGGGGAATATTGTTCTTTTGGCCAGTTGATGCCTCGGGGAGGAAAAATATCGGGGTAAAAAAGGACTGAAAAGGTTAAATGAGGGGAAAAATGTCAGGAAATTGTCCGGGAGGGAAGAGCGGGAGCCACTTGCAGGTCCCCTTGGGAA